ACAACATAACCAAATAGCAATAATCAATAGAAGCAGAAATTGATAAAAATATCCAACAAAAAAATATATAGCAATAGCAAGCACATGATCTTAACGTTGAATTGTTGAAGCACGAAAACAGTCAAGCATATAGAAATAATAATAGCCAATATCATTGGACCTTGTTGGAGATAAAAAAATTAGAGAGACAATAAACAATAACATATAATGAATGACTAATTAATTTTTTTTTATTTTCTTCTCCAATGTAATTAGTTGATATATTTTTGGGCCCTTATTATCTACTAAAATCTTTTTGTCTCTTACTATATGCTACAATTTTTTAGGTTTCGTTAATTTATTAAATTCTTTTAGATTACTATTGTATTTTAAGGGAAAAATTTGGACCCCTGGTATTTTTGGGCCCTGGGTGTGCGCCCGTACTGCCCTCCCTAGGGACGTCCCTATACACAATGAAAAGATTGACATATTTATTTGTTGAAATATGATGTTAGTAGTCTTTGTATCGTGTTTGTATGGATTATGTAGTTGGTGTTTTTTCTTGATCAAAATTGTTTAATCTCATTATTAGCCACCAGAGGTATTAATAATGGTTGTTGATTTGTTCGGTAGGTAATAATTTGGATCAATAAACAGTCCAAGTTTTTAAAGGTGGTCTATTTGGGACATTTGTTTGAGAGCATGCTTTTACAAGGTAGGCTTCCAATCTCTTTATATATTTTCCTATGGCTTTGTTGCATATTAGGTCACTCATGATTTAGTGTAAGTAGATGAATTTTTATAATCTTATACATTCTACGTGGTCCTACTCTTTGATGAGTGTTAATGACTATTCTAATTTAGATTAAGGGGTTGTTTGTTAAACACTTATCTTGGTAAGCGTTTAGCAGTTCAATTACCTTACCTTGTGAATATAACAAGGAACGAGAATCGTACTTGGTAAAAAGGAAGACAATGATCAATAGTTTTATACCAAGTGAGGATGATGGCTCTTACCCAGTAAGCGATTACCGGGAAATAAATGTTTATCACTAATCCATTTTGAAGGTCGGCCCACAAGATAGGTGAGAGTGGTGATACTTGCTAATAAGTACTTATCGCACAAACGTATGGTAAACTACTCCTATTTGTTCTTTTTCCAGCAAGATTGCGTAACTAGTTATTCACTATTATAAAAGCACTATTTTTGTTATTTTTTAATCTTTTGACCCTAAATCCCTCCCCTCCCATCCCATCCCATCCCATCCCATCCCAAAAAAAATCCATTCGATAATATCAACTCTCATGTAATAAATTTTTTACCGATCTACTTAGGTGGTGTTTAATTAGAGGTATTAAACAGTAATCAATTAAAATAATAATAAAAGAACTATTTGGCTTTATATAATATATTGGGTTCATTGCCCTAGAAGCCAAATTTTCATGTTAAACTAGGGGAATGAAAAGTCATTCCTATTTTCATTTCTTGTCATTTTCATTTTTATTGACCAAAAATTCTCTACTTTTCTGTCTTTGTAGACTCAAATACATTAAATGTAAATTTGAATGCAGTTAGTAATCTTTCATATCCTGACACATTGCATGAGTACACAACTAGTTTTGACTTTTGATAAAGTAAAAACTTGTGGAAGCGATTTAAAACATAATTTCATCATATTAAAACTTTTACAAAAGATGGAAACAACATTTGCAACATCACAGAGATGAACAAAAACATAAAAGATAATATTCACATTACAACAATCCTATCGTTGTCAAAACTATACAACTCTTATGACCATTCTTGAGAGCTCTAATCTCGTGTCCTTTCTTAATAATTACCTGTGATACACATACATTTTAAGCTATATTTGCCGGATGATTACATGTTTACAATATATATATATATATATATATATATAGAGAGAGAGAGAGAGAGAGAGAGAGATAAGGTATCATGAAATAGTGAAATCTTATTAACTCGTAGCATGAAACAAAGAAATCTGTCACATTCTCATGAAAGAGATTTCACATAAACAATTTCAACATAATGTTAAAGTGTTCCTTTTTAGCATTCATGATATATTGTACATGAAACCTGGATTATATTTAGAATACGGTAAAACAACATTCATGTTATCTTTCATAAAAAAAAAACTCTGAAACTATCATCCTGGTTCTTCTTAAAAATAGTAAATATTGTCTACAATACATGTTTCCTTTTTTACCCTTGAATAATCTTTTAATATTAGGGAAAAAAATAGAAATTCAAAATTAATGTTGGATGTATGTAACCGTTGATCAAGATTTGGATGACTATATTAGGTTGTATATGTTATATATATATATATAGAGAGAGAGAGAGAGAGAGTTTGTTTCAAATGCAACCCATTGCATTTGTACAACCAATGCAACCCAATAAATTGAAATATTTATGGAAATGATGAGAGTTTATTTATTATGATTTAAATATTTATGAAAAATGAATATGGTTCATTAATTATGATCAATACTTTATATTAGGAAACAATCAAAACTTCTATGAAATTACATATTCATCAAATTTAAAGGATGGTTGAGATTGAGTTGTATTGGTTGTACAAATGGTAGAGGTTGTATAATAACACACCTCTATATATATATATATATATATATATATATATATATATATACTAGAAGGATAATCCTACAATACAGCGAAATACATCTTGATTTTAATGTTTTATTATATATATTAGCTCTATCGATATTACAATGCGATTTTATGTGGTTTTAAGAAAAAAAATGTTTTTATTTTTGAATGAAATATAAATTTAAAAATATTATAAAATTTTGAAAAAAGAAAGAGATATTAGTATCAAATTAGTTATTTAAAAGTTCATTTTTGTGTAATTTTTTAATTCAATTTTTTATTATAATTTAATTGAAGTTTAAAAATGAATTAATTTATTTTTGGTTTAATAAAATAATTTTTTAAGATAATAATTTAGTATTCTGTTAGAACTCAATGATTATCTTAATTACATTTTAGATTTTTTAGATTTAAAATGATGGTTATCATGTATTTGATTATGTTTTATCTGCAGTTAGTTACACAAATTTAAACATGGAGCTTTAATAAGATATACTAATGCATATTTTTCTTATAATCTTGAATTTTAAGTAATATGTTTCAATAAACATTACTTCATGCATAAAAAATCGTATTATTTACACCCCTAATTTACACATATATTCATAATACATGATTCTCACACACACACACACACACACACACACACACATATATATATATATATATATATATATATTCAAGTACAAAATCATACATGTTCAAAAGTAGTTTGCTTCCATTTTTTTGGTATTAATGTAAAATCACATGTAATTTTGTACATTAACGACTTTTTTCTTATTTTTTTTAAATAGTTAGCATTCTCGTTTGAACATTCATCTCTTTTCTCTCTCTTTCTCTCTCTCTCTCTCTCTCTCTCTATATATATATATAATATAAAAACTTGGGATCATATGAGACAAGGTTGTTTTCGTGAGACACGATTTTTACACTTGAAACTTGATAACAAAATGTTGTGAAAGTAAAAAAAACCGAATTTTCGCAGCAAAAACATTGTGAAGGTTATATTCACGGTGTTTTGTTGTGAAGTTTCAAGTATAAAGAGCGTGTCTCACGAAAACAACCATGTCTCACATTATCCCAAGTTTATATATTCACACACACACACACTAGAAAAGTACTCACATAATGCAACCAGATACATCTTGATTTTAATATTTTTTTATATTTTTTTTTTGTCTCAGTCAATGTTATAATACGGTTTTAAGAAAAAAAATAACTTTTTTATTTTTGAATAAAATATAAATACAAAGATATATCACAAAAAATTAAAAAAAAATATTAATATTTTATCAAACTAATTATTTAAAATTTCTCTTTTTTGTGTATTTCTTTAATTCATTTGTTTTAATTTTTGGTTTAATAATATAACTTTTTTATAAAAAAATAATTAAGTATTTTGTTAGAACTCAATAATTATCTTAATTATATTTCAGATTTTTTATATTTAAAATAAGATATTTATCTGCAGTTAGTTACATGAAGTTTTAATAAACGGTACTCAACACATAAAAAATGGTTTTTGTAATATGCGTCAGTAAACGGTACTTAATGCATAAAAAATGGTTTTAAGGAGTTTTTGTCAAATGCTTTAGAAACCATGAGAACATCTCTGGTCTATCCTTTACATGTTCAAATAAGCACCTTCTATTACAGTATTTGGTTTCTGCTATGACAACCTCCGATGACCACGTTTCTATATTTTATGAATCATGAAAGGTAAAAAGTGATAAAAATTAAGACTTCCCGACAAAGAAAGGGGAAGGAAAAAGTTGAGATAGATGTGGTAATGAAAAGGATTGTAAGATTGCAACCTCCAATGATATGAAAACTATACTTTTCATCAAGTCATCAGCTTATGTTCAGAAAAATGGCTCTCTAAGTTTCTAGAACCTGCAACTGCTAAGGTTACTACATTATTGGGAGGTCATAGAGTTAAGTAATGAACCTTTTTGCAGACCCTTTGTTTCGTCCTAAACAATTCCAACTCCCCAAGAATTTTTCCCATTCTTGAGAACCCATCAATCATAGGAGTCTAGCATACCTTATCCTTTGTACAAACAGGTTTTAAACACCACCCTTTTAGCTTCCACAATGAGCCCATCATCAAAGTAAGATGAATCATAAAAGAAACAAAATCTCCTTCAGGCATTTCATCGAACATCTCCTCTGCATCTCTAAGTTGGCCTAAAACTCTAGAAGCTTCATATACCTAAGAACGAACGATCCAGAGAGAATGTAACCAAAGATGGCACTTCGACGATGATCCTTAAAACCCATCATCCATAAAAACCAATATACATTGCAATAAGAAAACATAAACAGGAAGAAATATTCATACCCTATTCGAATTTGAACTTTCTCTTCGAAACAAAAAAACATGAAGAATTGTCTGTCAGGCAACCATGTAACCATGCCAGAACCCATCAGATGGGGTGACAACGATCCTCTACTTAGCCATGGCATAGACTATGCCATGGGTTCTGTTAATCACGCTCTGGTTACATGGTCGTGGTTCATCAACCTGACATGGGTTTCTGTCTTCTTAGGAATCAAGAATGCAGAAGTACGAGCCTATAGAACAGATCCTGTTCAAGTAAGGTCGTGACTTCCCTTCGATCTGTTGTCCATATATACGCCTAAACTTTTGTAGTTGGCTTCCATGTGGGATGCGATATACCGGACCTATGGCGGCCTGCTGTTTTGATGAAGGAAATTTGGATTTCTCCCAAATTAAATGTGAAAATAATAATCATTTCATATTTCATCAATCTACATTTTTTTTCTTTATTGACATCTCAATAAACTAAAATATGTTTGTAACTTTCAATAGTTTTATAATATTTAAAAAAGATAAATAAATAATCTCTGATTTTATTTACGGATATCATACAAAATTATTTATTTATTTATAAATTCTACTCACCAAAACAAAATAAATAAAATTTGTATGAAAAAAGCTAACAAAAAATAATGAATGCTTGAAAATTATTAAATATATTTTAAAATTAATAGAAGGGTACTCGCACAATGCAGCAAGATACATCTSGATTTTAATGTTCTATTTTATTCTTTGTCTCTGTCGATGTTATAATACGATTTTATGTGTTTTTAAGAAAATTAATAATGATTTTATTTTTTAATAAAATATAAATTTGAAGATATCATAAAATTTTGAAAAAATATATCGATGTTGATATAAAATCAACTATTTAAAAGTTTTTCTCATTTTTTATGTAATTTTTTTAATTTATTTTTTTATTATAATTTGATTTATGTCAAATAGTGAAGTATTTTATTTTTGGCTTAACAATAACTTTTTTATAAAGATAA